TTACTGTTCTTTAAGATTACTCTGTGTCCTATACTGTGCTAGGCTAAAAATATACATTGGTGCCTGTCCCTGTACAGCCTTCTACTAGGGGAGGTAGACATCTCCTTCATATTAAAAGAGCACTGACATCTTACAGCTAAAAGCCATTTTATGTCTTTAAAATGTTTGATCAAATATTTATTTTTATGCTGCCATGTTTTGGTTTCACAATGTACTAAGAAAAATAATACAGAACACTAAGCTATATCCTAAATCCATAATATAAAGTTTTTCTATTTTAATCCTTTATCCTGACTTTTGTGTCATAGGAGACAAGTTGAATGAAGTGGTCAGTAGAATTATATGCTCCATTATCCTGCATTTTATCCACTTGCATTTTTCCTGCATTATCAAGAAGTTTTAAAGGCTGATAAATCTCTTTAAAAAATGTTTTTAAGTGAATGTATTCATTGTTATATAGCCTGCTAGAAAGTGATATTCTGGTAGTGTTTCCATTCCTCAAATGTTTCCAGAACTTTTGCTTCCACATAGTAACAAAAGAATATCTTTCCTATTGTTTTAGAGGATATTATCTATGACCTCCTTTGCCAGATTCAGTTGGCTGAAGCACATTATTTTCTTTTCTAGCCTGTATCTGGGAGAAACCTTGCTGAGAACAAAAGAAAGAGGCAGAATCAGATATGCAAGGAACCCTGTGGCTAGACTGGATTGGGAACCAAAAAACTCTTCGAGAGACTTCTTTCTAGTTCAACGTACATTTCTTGAGCTATTATGTCCCATCTACCCTTGTGAATTGTAAGGCACTAGAGAAAAGGGAGATTTATTATTGCTGCCTCATAGAGTTCACATATTCTTTACAGTTGCTTCATTTAAATAAAATCAGCAGAAAGGACACAGAGAGAATTAAAAACACTAAGCATTAGTACTATATCATCAAAATCTATCCAGGCTGCTGATTTCCTTTTTCCTCAATTATTCTGGTTATGAGCTTCATTTTGGCATTATTTCTCAATATCCCTACTTACAATTTATGTAGTGGTCTTTTTTTTTAATTCTCTTTCCAAACTTTCTACATTGGGAAGCCAAACCCTATGGGCAGGATCCTCAATTGGCTTGATCTCAAATAAGACACACTTTCTTTCCCCTATGTTGATCTTCAGTGATAAAAATGAGCCAGAATCGTCCTTTTGCTTCATACAGCTAAATAAAGGAGAACAATCAGACTTACTAAAGAAGTCAAGTAAGTAGACTTAGTTTGTGTTCAATGTCTAACATTTAAGATACAACAAGTAAATATTCAAATCACCACAGGCTGAGGATTTTGTAAGCAGAGATTTCATATGAGAAAATGCCTATTACATTAGCTTCGGTTTTTTTACACCAATTTTGACAATGAAAAACAAAATGAGTATCAAAAAGTGTAATATTCATTGCATTTGTTTTGTCAGCATTTATTTTTGTTTTGCAAATACCTGTTTGGAAACCAATTAAAAGCTCCATTGTGTATGGATTAAGTCAAATAATATTCAGATAATTACTAGCAAACACTCTAATGTTTCAAGATTGTTTTGTCTACCTCATATATTTAAAGATAATATATTAAACAAAAACCAAAGCCATTACATGTCATTAGATCACCCAAAATCTTTGTCCATAAGAAAATCCATGTATAACAAGATTGTACACATTAAATTATTTAAATGTATGAAAAAGCCACACAAACTGACAGGGACATTCAATAAAAAAATAAGTTAATATAAATAAACCTGCATAAGAATATATTCAAGTTGTCAACAGATATATGAAACATGCTCCTCAAATTTAATAAGCTGAGAATTAGAAGTTAAATGAAAAATCACTATGCCTATTAAACTGGTCAAAATTAAGAGCTGTAAAGCCTACCACTGGCATAGAGGTGAGGTTAAAAATTACAACTGCATGTGTTGCAGTGAATTGTGAAAAATGAAATAAGTCTGGAAAACTCATTCAAATTAAAGGTACGCAGAGCCAACAACGCCACCCCTGAGAATTTACTTACAAACAAATATATGATCTAGCTTGGGTAAGGATGATTACAGCATTAATCATACTGGCAGAACAACGGAGACAGAGTAAATTCCCACCAAGAGTGATTATATAAATTATAATGTACATGCACTATGAAATTATACACTCATCAAAAGAACTAAAGTTATGCCAGACAAGTTGAAAAAACATTCACATAATACGAACTTTGCTTAGAAATAATGATACCCTAAATTTTGTGTACATATGTACTTGCTCCAGTATGTGTATATATATAAAAAGCAATATAAATGTATAGAGTTTATATGTGAACACATATTGTGTGACCATAGAAGGAAGGAACATATGGGTTACATTGTTGACATGGGTTACATTGTATGTGGAGAAGGCAGAGCTGATCCAGTACAAGCAGAAAGTAAAAGAGGAAATATTGAAAAGTGAAAAAAAGAGCTTCCTGTAGAATAAAATACATATTTTATCCTTCATACATGTATGCAAAATTATATATATATATACATATATATAGAACTATGCATCTAGAAATTGAATAAAAACAATGTTTGTAAATTCTAAAAGGGAAAATGTCAAGGCAATAAAAGAGGGGGAAAAAAACTAGTAGACTACTTAACCAATCTTAGAATGAAGAATGCCAAAGCAAATAGGAAATAACAAAAGGAAAGATTAATAGATGTTATCACGCAAAAATTAAAAACGCTTTGATGGCAGAAACATTACAAACAAAAGTAATGGTAATCAGTTGTGATAACACAATGCCATATTTCTTAAATAAAATGATCTTACAAAGCAATAAGAATTCTAGCACCACTTTTAAAAACGTACAAAGAGCTTACTGAATCACAAAAAGAGATATAGATAACCAGTATAACTCAGCTCAGTAATGAACAAATAATTTTAATATAAAGCATTAATCCAAAAATTTCATTAACTTGACAAAATATTTTAAATTATAAATCATGTAATTTGACTATAAGCAGATTCACCTTTTCAAACACTGCTACCACTAATAGCAACTATCTGAAAAGTATTCTGTTAACCTCTAGTGAATCTTAAAAATATCAATATCCTTGGACTCAATACTATCATTCATACAATCAAGCCTAATGAAATAATCACAAAAAATGGTGTACTTATGAATATGTCTTACAATATTACTCCTAGCAGAAAATTCGAGATGACCTAAATGTCGAATGGAATAGTTTTAAATATTTAATAAGATATGGGTATAGTCTCAAGGTCCACCCACTGAGCCATAAATGTGTCAAGTTTATCCTTCTTTGTGGCTGAGGGGTACTCCATTGCATTAAAAATCATATTTTTATCCATTCGTTGGTTGATGGGCATTTGGGTTATTTCCAAGATTTAGCTATTACAACCTTGAGACGAGACTATTAAGTGAAATAAATCAGACACATATTTGTAAATATTGCATTCTCTCTGGTGAAAGCTGAAACAACCAAAATGTATAATAGGTATTGTGAAATAAAAGTAATTGCTCAAAGGGAAAAGGGAATAGGGGGTGGAAGGAAAAAGAAAAAAATGAGAAAAAAAGGATACAATGGAAACAAAGCTTTGTAAATATGGGGCTGAAGACAGAGGAAGGAAATGAGGAACAAAGAGGAGCCAAGGTACATATTTATGTATAGTTACAAACTCCCTATAATGAATGAAATCATTATGCAAGTCTAAATTGTACCAGTAAAATAAAATATAAATTTAATTTTTTAAAAGATATGGGTAAATACTATTAGTATAATATTAAATTTGAGAAACAAAAGCACCCTACTTTTCATTGTCCCTATTTAACACACATGTATTTGTACAGATATAAAAGGACTAAAAAGATCAAAATAATTATTTCCAAATGTTAAAATTAGGATGATATTTAGTTTTGAACTTTTAAGTACAACCTCACATACTTGATATCTTTTAACAAATTATTGTCATTATTAACTTTTTATTCAGGTAAATAAGATGATCATTAGGCTTAGTTCTATCCCATTTCCAAATCAATTCTGAGCAGGGTAGAAACTATTAAAGAGGCCTTGATCTTAATCAAGAAACTCAGTAAATAAGTAGCCACTGATGGACATTAGAATTACATGTAGCTTCCAAGTCATACCATAGGCTATATGACCTTAAATGTGACAAATATGTGTGTGTGTGTGTGTGTGTGTGTGCATAGTATCACCTCCCTTCAAAGTTTTGATTGCCACTTCATCATTGATCTGCCCCTGCTTCCATCATTGTCCTTAACTATGTATATAAGAGGCCTCAACTTGCCTTTTCTTTTGGTACTATTAATTCCAACCGTAGTCCCCAAATTGTTTCATTCTACAGTCCTATCTATAAAAATTCTTTGAGTCCATAACTCTAATAAATTTATATACATTTAAGGGCATGTGCATTGCTATTAATGTAATTTAATATGTTACAAATTACCTGAATATTAGAAATTAAAGAATTTAAATGTGAAGTAATTCAAAGATAATAAGAAATAGACACAAGAGTTCTATTGTTTTATTCCTACTCCCCAATGGATCATTTTATTCATGCCCTAGGAAAGGGTCCCTGCTGTGCAAATCACATTAGAGTACCTTTTCCAATCCCATTATCCATCCTTAATCCTCCATTGCACATGGAACTGTATTTTGAAATTCCAGAATTCTTAGGGTGAACTCAAACTATGACAATATTCATAAAGGAGCTCAATTGTATAATGTAAAAAATTGCATCAAAAAATGAAAAGATTCTGTCTTTCCTATGTCTTATCATAGCTCTCAGCAAAAGCTAGATTTTCATGTGTGAAAATTACATACAGTGTGGAATAACTACATTTCTATTATTACTTTTACCATTTACTAATAACAATTACTACTACTACTACCACCACCACCACTACTTTCTGCTCTACATCCTAATGTTACTCAGTGCTTTGGTAAGCTTTAGTAGAATACCTCTGCAGATTTTTGAAGGCTATCATGGCATGGAGAAAGAATGGATGTCTTCTCCCATTTCTGTACAACTTGATTGGCTTCTTCTATTTTCTGCTCACAACTTTTTTGAGAATTTAGTAATGTCACCTCATAAAATTCTTGAATATCTGTAAAGAAAATGTAGGGGAAGAATCAAAATGTCATGTAATAGTCACAAATAATTTCTGCATATATATAAACACATAATATGCATATGGAATGTACTGCTGATTAAGAGAATTGAAAAATATACAGTGCAAGGTAAAACAGTATAATAGAGAAAATCCTGAAAATTGACTTTTAACTACATGAGATTTATAGCAACTTGTTATGGTTCATGATCTAAAATGTCCCCAAAGTCTCATGTATTCAAAGATGAGGTCTGGTTGAAAGGGGCAAATCACCGAGGGCAAGACCTGGGATGGTGATTCTTGCCCATGACTCTTCTGTCTCTGCCTCCTGGCTGCCATGGATGGGCAGCTCTCCACCAGGCCACTCCACCCTGCCATTTCTGCCTTGAAGCCAGCTGACTTTGGACTGAACCCACTGCAAACTGTAGGCCTAATATACCCCCTTCTCCTTTAAGTTGTGGGTGACAGGTATTTTTCCCCATCAATAGGCATGTGACTAATACACAGCCTTATTCACAATTGCAAAAACTGAATGCAATCAAGATATCCTTCAATAGGTGAACAGATACACAGGAGTAAATCCATGTAGTGAAATATTATTCAGTAATAAGAAAGAATGATCTATGAAACAATGTAAAACACAGATAAATTGTAAGTTCATATTGTCAAGTGAAATAAGTCAATATGAAAGCAATACATGCTATATAATCCATTTAAATCACATTTGGAAAAAGTAAAACTAAAATAAAAACAATCAGTGGTTGCCAGATGTTCTGGGAGAAGGAAGGAAGACTCAATCAGTGAACCCTAAAGTGATGATAAATATTCTCTAATGGCATATAATGGTACATATACAGCATGAAACATTTATTTAAAAGTCTGAGAAACTGTCACAGTTTTGGTGACACAGAAACTGTAACAGAAGAGCTCAAGGAGACATAATGAATAAATGTAATATGCTATCCTGAAAACTAAAAAGGAGCATTTACTAAAAGTTAAAAAAATTTGAACAGACTTCAGTTTATAATAATACACTGATCTATCCTTATTGATTGCAACAATATTAATTTAAGATGCTAATACTAACAAAAACATAATGGGAGATTAAGGGGAAATCTCTGTATAGCTTTTTAGTTTTTCTATAAATATAAAACAATGAGGCCACACCCATAGTGTGTTGCCCCAGGCTGTGCTAAGCCTCGGACATCTTCAGGAAGCCCAGTGAGTCTGGGCTCTGCCTCCTTGAGCAGCGTGCAAGGCAGGTGAAACCATGGGCACCCTCTTGGGCCTCACTGGCTACCCACCACACCCATAGTGTGTTGGCCTGGGCTCAGCTGCCACTACTCACCAGCACAAGAGCTACACTGAGTACTGGGGATCTTCAGACTCTCGCCCTGGCACTCACACACAATCAGGACAGTGAGAGTGCACTACAGGAGTTTCTGATTCTTCAAAAATGACAAAATGAAGGAGCAAGATGCAATCCCAGACCTCCACACCACC